CTTTACAAACCTTAGCCACACGCTTCTGTTTGCAGAAGGGGTGGTGAATGGTAAATATGAGACTTTTTGAGAAGGCAAGATTAGCGTTTCTCTTTGCAAGCCCGAAACATTTTGACTTTTCAAATTGTGAGACCATGATTTCAAAATGATTTAAATGCGAGCGCGAGATGTTCACATTCAGAGGTCACTTATAAAAATAAACAAATCAGACTTTGAGACTTTCTTAGCTTTGTAAACAAATTTAGACACTGACTCCAAGAAAGCTTTGTGAAAAAAATTGATACTGCAAGATGCAAATAATGGCTAAAAACAAACGAGACTGCGAGACTTGTGAAATTCATCGAAATTTTTGCAAAACCCATGGATTTTGAAGGACCATTCATCACCCCATATCTCTTATCAGTGTGAGGCTAAGGTTAACAAATTGTCATTCCAGTTGAACTGGTGTTAAGCCACCAAGAGAGATAATCCTCTTGATTCTTTAGCTAAGCTACTAATATCAGTCTCAGTACTCTCTGGTTATGTACATGATGTAACAATGACCATATACTCTTTTGTACAAATATCTTGGATATCTAAAGAGGTACATTTGTGAATAGGTACGACACAGATTCGCCATTGTGTGTCCTGCGAATTGCCTCGGCAAGGATCATGGAGATGTCAATGCACTAAGACAAAAGGAGAGAAAAAAATGAATGTTGACATAAAATAAAACAAACCAAAATGTGGATAAACAAAGATGGGTACTAAAGTCAACACCCTCTACCCATGCTGGTATGAAATGGCAGAAGTGATCTATTTGTTCAGAAACTGTTGCTCTGCATCATCAGGCAATGAAACACGTATTATATAATATTTCCAATTATTCTTGCATTCGATTGGTTCTTACCTATGATCAATTGGAGGAAAGACACATGGAAGACATTATCAACATTTTTTGTTTGATCTCCTTAATATAAAACAAGTAGACTCTGTGCTGCCATACTTCTGTTCAGCAGTTGATCACAGAAGACATCAAAATGTACAAAGAACATCAGCGACACGTGGTTATCACCCTTGTGTGCCACTTTTTTGTTTCTATCACATTATGACATCATCTGTGATCAACTACTAACCACACGCAAGGCAACATAAAACATCTATTAATTTTGTTAAACATATTATGACTTTGTGGTTTATGACTTCAACAAAGGTGAGCCCATACAGAATTCATGTCTATGTTGAAGCAGATTTAGAAACTGCCTCCCACTTGGAAATCTAGTTTTGTCAGTCACTTTGTTAAAGGTACTTGAAGCTTTAAGGAAGAAAATCATAACAAACCTTGATCTTTTGGCAACTCTGCATCTTGCTTTCCTGTGGAATGGTATTTGTGACCACAACAGCTTCAAGGTCACTCTCCTCAATTCTCTTAAGGGCGGGGCCAGAAAAGATGCCATGTGTTAAGATGGCATATACTTTAGCTGCACCAGCATCTTGCAATCTGTACAAATGACAAGAAATACCTGGCAATTAACAAACTGTGCCTTCAGCAAACCAAAAAGATTTTTAAAATCCTTTCAAATCTAAGTATAGCATTAGATACATCAGAGCTATTATTGAGGGCTGTAACCTGTAACACCTGTTATGCCTGAGTGTGTTGAATGATGGGCCCTTGATGTTACAGGTGAACATCTCTGTTGTTGGTATAATTTACCCACAAAGCAACAAACTGTGGGCCTGAGGATCAAAGCAATGGGCTAATCCAAAGCTAACAGAAAGCCCTATACATGTATGTTACCTAACATGTTACCCCACTTGAGAAAAGCACACATATCATAAATGACAACTTCAAGATCAATTCTGAGATTTCAGGAAAAAACGATGGTCTAAGAAGATCTGTGTGGCAGAGGAAGATGAGTGCAAACATCAAGACACCAACTGATGAAAAACTACAGATCTATTCTCCAAGAGCTGAAGTGGGAGTGAAAGAACCCTGCTTCAGTGCTGGGAAAGACAAGCCAAACTTAACAGACTAACTTACTTCTGTGCTGCTAGTGTGAGTGTACCACAAGTGTCAGCCATATCATCGACAAGGATTGCTGTGCGATCTTTGACGTCTCCCACAAGAACCATGCTTGCCACTTCATTGGCAACTTTTCGCTGATTACATAAGTATACAAATATAAGAGCGCTATGATTATGCTCTAAATGGAATCATCCTGAGATCAAAATAATAATTCTCACCACTAATTACCACACACTTCTTTCAATGTGAATTCTGAGAGTTTGATGGTACTTCCAGGCAATAATCGCTAATTGATGATTTTCTTTATTCTTGTCATCTGTCTGCGACTGCTCTTGGATACAAAATTTTCTGATATCGAGATGATAGTAAGTAGTGTGTTATGCTACACAGTGGACCCCAGCCAGAACTTAATCTCGCATTTCTAAAATTCAAAGTTCACACAGCTAAACCTTTAATATTTTAATCTAGAATAAGTGTGTCTTTTGTCTCCACATAGCATAACTTGTAGTTCAAACCTTTTAGCTCCTCCTGCATCGGGCGACACAATCACTGAACGTTCCCAGTCAGAAATGTGCTCTCTGATCCATTTCAGCACAGCAGGCTCAGCATACAAATTGTCCACTGGTATATCGAAGAAACCCTGAAGGGCAGACAGTGTACAGGACAATAATTAAACACAATGCAGGCGTGGTAGATGGTAAACTCAATGAGTGGGTCATGGATGCAGTTCACTTCTTACTTGATCAACAGTGCCTTGGTACTTTGTGCCCTTGAGTTTTGTCCCATTCATACTTACACGTAGCCATTTCAGTATTCAATTACATGTATTGCTGTTGATACTCATAATGTTTCAATTTTCAGTTGTTTCAAAAAATCTTTAAACTGAATGAATTCAAGAAACTATTTCCTCCACTCAGTTGTTATTAGTGAAGGCCCTTGAGGGACTTCCTTGGAAATCTCATTCACTTCACAGCAATAGCTGAGAGAATTTCAAACATTATTTCATCCAATTAATTTTGGGTTTAATTTTATGACCTGAGTTAGTGACAAGACTGTTAGCATAAAAGTCTGTTCAAACCTGTATTTGTGACGCATGAAGATCCATGGTAATAATGTGATCTGCACCAGCTACTGACAACATGTTGGCCACCAGTTTAGCAGAAATTGGTGCACGGCTCTATAACATTAAACAGGAAAGAATTACTTCATAAGACTTCTTTACCTTGCATTTTCCACGTAAAACATTCTGCTACATTTTTCCATACAAAAATCACGCATAGCAAAGATAGGCAAAAAGTGCAATTGAGTAGAATCAACTTAAGGCCGAGTAACATTTTATTGCGACTTGACATGCAAAAATGTTGTTGCACATTTTACCATCTAGGCTGCCATTTGCAGTGCTCAACATGCTGTGTTTAGCAATCATAAGTTCAACTTTGTGCAACATGTTGATCAATACAACTTACAGCAAGGTTTGGGAGAACTCGCAAATGCTGTGGAAACACTTGCCTGTCAGTTTGTGTTCCCACAGCATTTCTCATTCTCCCAAACTTCCACTCGTGTTTCTATAACTCGATAGGAACACAGAACATGTTTTCTATTTCTTAATGTTAGCACAGTATGTTTCATTACCTTATCTTTCTTGTCCTGTCTTGCATACGGAAAGCATGGAATAACAGCTGTGACACGCTGTGCTGATGCAATCTTACACGCATTGATCATAATCAACAGCTCCATTAAATTATCATTGATGTCGCCACAACCACTTTGAACGATGAAGACATCTTCCCCTCGGACTGACTCACCAATTTCAACACTGAAAAATGAGAAGCAGAGTTTGAGACTGGCAGTAAACAAGTAGCCAATTCAAAAGAGAACATTATGCCCCTCAGAGTTAAGGTTTGATCACTCAATTTGCAACTACAATACAAAAAAGTTGCTGCGGAGAGACAAAAGTAAGTAGACTTATTGGAGTACTTTAGTTTCTTGTACTCAACTCTGATTCTGAAGTGGAAAATTATAAGTGGATTTATGTGATATTTTATGTGTTCAACAAGAGGAAATTGAAGGCTAATTTTGTTTTGTCCTGGTCCACTAAAAAGTCAGGGACACTTTCCCAACTGGCCACTGAGTATTCAGTTAAGCATACCCTTGACTGGGTAGACTATTGACATTCTGTTGTCAGGTGGAACACTATCGGTTTTATGTTACGTGCTAATTCATGTCATTGTCGAGCAACAAAAGTCGCTTAAATTTCAGTATAAATTTTGTTACTGTTAGTTATAATGTAAAATTTGGTTCCTGATTATGTTGATTTGTTATATTACTGGTGGAGATGTTGCAGATGGCAAGAATAGGCACTTCACAAAGTTTGTTACTGTGTCCAGCATAACGTATGTTTATTAAAACTGGTTGGCTGCACAGTTGCCTTTTTATGAATTGATAGAAGGCCGTTAGACTGGCCAAGTTTTCATGAAATATTGTTGAACGAAACCATCAATAAATTAGTTTATCTATATTTAAAGAGCAAGAAAGCTTGGTTTCAGTTTCTATGAGCTGGGAGAATCCTAAGCTTGCAATAAATAAGATAACCTTGTTCTCTGCAAACTTCGGAGCATTACTTGTTATTACACATTATTAATTGCTATTATTATTAATTTTGTCTCATCTGAGTATTAATAAAATTGACTTGCTTCTTCTCTGAGAAAAGAAAAGAAGACTGAACTACCATTCTTCTGGAGACTATGGAAAACGAAATTCTCAAGTTTTATCACGTGAATATAAATACCTTCTGATGACTCTAATGACCTCTTAATGGGAAATATATCAAAGAATATTGTCTCAGCACAATTAATCAAGTGACAAAGATAACAGTACAAACGAACACTGTGCGTTTAATATTATCCACAGTTTGTAAAACTGGTTCGTGATGTTTGCATGACGGATGTCGTGAGCACGTGTTTTAATCCATTTCTGCCACACGCGTGCGTGAGAAATGTTTTCCCGGTCTTTAGTACAAATTAAAATAAACAGTAACAAGTTTTTAATGAAACCTTCGACATCAATTTAATATGAAACTCACACAAAGTGGTGCTGACGATTTCTACAAAACAACAGACAGCTTTTATGCTCTCTTACACATTAAGACTTGCATGTGTTGCCTTGACAAGTAAGCTATTTGCTAGGTCGATAAAAATACTGTGAATTCATACTAAGCTTGATGTTACTGTTTGCCTTGGATGTTTAGCGCTAATCATGGCTCTTTCTTTGTATATAAGCTATGTCTTCACATGGAATCGGAGAAATCACAGACCTGTCACAAAGCTACACCAGAAACACTTCGTTGAAGCTGGCGATTCGCAGTACTCCAATAACTGAATAAGACTAAGCTCACCTGGTCTCCTTGTTTGAGAACTTTTTCAACACACATTTACCCAGGTCGTTTCCCAGTCGTTCTGCAATCAACTTAGCCAGTTGTTGATGAGAATTTCCGCCAAAAATCTTAATGTTCGGCATATTTGGAAGCGACACACAAGTAGGCTCTGCCAGGGCTTTCGCAATGTGCTTGGCGGCGAATCAGTTGACGCTTTTCAACTCCAAGATCCAGGGTCGGGAGGGTAGGGAATGTAGTCTATAGTATTGGTGGTAGAGCTAACGTTGTCCAGGATTGAGATCCATCAATCTCCCCTGGCCTATCACGCCAAAATTGCAGATCAAAATTCATTGTTGGAACTACTAACGCTGGGAGGCTCAGGAGTTAAAATTAAAATCAATTCCCGCTCGGGAACCGATTCCCTCCCTCACCGATTGAGTCGGGCCCACCCTTCTACGGAAACTTTTACAGTGCCACCTTAATTTTTCAGTTTAGGACGAATGCACGCACAGGGATCGTACCCGTTAAGCACTGATCCTTGTGCAAAATCGGGCGCGCAATATGCTGCTGGTGACAATTTCAGGGGTGGCTGTATGAGGCAATTTAAGCAAAGCACGCCACCGAGCTTTGATTCAAGTGAGAGGTGACGGAGGGCTTGTATTAGCTGGACATCTTTGGCATTGTCATGCAAATATTTGGAAATAATTATTTCACCAATTGTTAACTCGCACTCTCTTCGTTAAACATCACACAAAAGGGGTCAATTTATGTTTTTTTTATTCAAATATAAAATTACTTTTAAAAGTTCTGAATTTAATTTGCTGTTTGACAGCGAGTACAAAATGGAGAAAATCCTGTACATTTCAGTTCTTTTCGTTGTATGTTAATATATTCATCGTAACACCAAAACTATGAAACGTACATTTTTGTATATATAAAGCTACACTTACAAATGTCTGTGTGAATATATTTTCAATATCCCAAATAGGTCTATTAGTTTTCAATTGACAGTCAGTTTTCGTACTGATTTGCATTATCCGCATTTTCACCAGTCGAGCTTTACAACTGGTAAGAAGGTCGAACATGTTGCTATTACCAATCAGATAAAACCAGCTTTTTTTAACCAATCAAGAGCAAAGCAAAAACCAGTCGTGACCAATCGAAAGGGGATTTTCCCGCGCTTGCTACCCGCTACATGATTTTCCGCGCTTTCCAATTTTTGAAGCTCTTGCTTCGAGTTCTGATTGGCTCACTGCAGTATTTGCATTTGCTGTGACTAAAGTCGGATTACTATCAGTCTCAATATTTTGAGTTATTTTGGCCACGTACAAAATTACCTTAAAATTGAAGGAAACCTGAAAATAATAGAGTACTAAGNAGCCCACAGACTAGTCCATCCTTGACACTTCAACTATTCAAAATAAAAAAATTAGAGTAGATTTTTGTAACACTACTGTCCGAGTACTTCAGGGTTCTAAATCCCTGTACCAGTAATAAAAAATTCGACAAATTTACCTCTTTATGAATCAAGGCAAAGCCAACATTCAAGTGATCAGCGATTGACGTCACTCTGAAAGAACAGACCAATACATACTTGTTTACTTATTCCTTTGACTTCCGAGATCAAAATAATAATTCTCACCACTAATTACCACACACTTCTTTCAATGTGAATTCTGAGAGTTTGATGGTACTTCCAGGCAATAATCGCTAATTGATGATTTTCTTTATTCTTGTCATCTGTCTGCGACTGCTCTTGGATACAAAATTTTCTGATATCGAGATGATAGTAAGTAGTGTGTTATGCTACACAGTGGACCCCAGCCAGAACTTAATCTCGCATTTCTAAAATTCAAAGTTCACACAGCTAAACCTTTAATATTTTAATCTAGAATAAGTGTGTCTTTTGTCTCCACATAGCATAACTTGTAGTTCAAACCTTTTAGCTCCTCCTGCATCGGGCGACACAATCACTGAACGTTCCCAGTCAGAAATGTGCTCTCTGATCCATTTCAGCACAGCAGGCTCAGCATACAAATTGTCCACTGGTATATCGAAGAAACCCTGAAGGGCAGACAGTGTACAGGACAATAATTAAACACAATGCAGGCGTGGTAGATGGTAAACTCAATGAGTGGGTCATGGATGCAGTTCACTTCTTACTTGATCAACAGTGCCTTGGTACTTTGTGCCCTTGAGTTTTGTCCCATTCATACTTACACGTAGCCATTTCAGTATTCAATTACATGTATTGCTGTTGATACTCATAATGTTTCAATTTTCAGTTGTTTCAAAAAATCTTTAAACTGAATGAATTCAAGAAACTATTTCCTCCACTCAGTTGTTATTAGTGAAGGCCCTTGAGGGACTTGCTTGGAAATCTCATTCACTTCACAGCAATAGCTGAGAGAATTTCAAACATTATTTCATCCAATTAATTTTGGGTTTAATTTTATGACCTGAGTTAGTGACAAGACTGTTAGCATAAAAGTCTGTTCAAACCTGTATTTGTGACGCATGAAGATCCATGGTAATAATGTGATCTGCACCAGCTACTGACAACATGTTGGCCACCAGTTTAGCAGAAATTGGTGCACGGCTCTATAACATTAAACAGGAAAGAATTACTTCATAAGACTTCTTTACCTTGCATTTTCCACGTAAAACATTCTGCTACATTTTTCCATACAAAAATCACGCATAGCAAAGATAGGCAAAAAGTGCAATTGAGTAGAATCAACTTAAGGCCGAGTAACATTTTATTGCGACTTGACATGCAAAAATGTTGTTGCACATTTTACCATCTAGGCTGCCATTTGCAGTGCTCAACATGCTGTGTTTAGCAATCATAAGTTCAACTTTGTGCAACATGTTGATCAATACAACTTACAGCAAGGTTTGGGAGAACTCGCAAATGCTGTGGAAACACTTGCCTGTCAGTTTGTGTTCCCACAGCATTTCTCATTCTCCCAAACTTCCACTCGTGTTTCTATAACTCGATAGGAACACAGAACATGTTTTCTATTTCTTAATGTTAGCACAGTATGTTTCATTACCTTATCTTTCTTGTCCTGTCTTGCATACGGAAAGCATGGAATAACAGCTGTGACACGCTGTGCTGATGCAATCTTACACGCATTGATCATAATCAACAGCTCCATTAAATTATCATTGATGTCGCCACAACCACTTTGAACGATGAAGACATCTTCCCCTCGGACTGACTCACCAATTTCAACACTGAAAAATGAGAAGCAGAGTTTGAGACTGGCAGTAAACAAGTAGCCAATTCAAAAGAGAACATTATGCCCCTCAGAGTTAAGGTTTGATCACTCAATTTGCAACTACAATACAAAAAAGTTGCTGCGGAGAGACAAAAGTAAGTAGACTTATTGGAGTACTTTAGTTTCTTGTACTCAACTCTGATTCTGAAGTGGAAAATTATAAGTGGATTTATGTGATATTTTATGTGTTCAACAAGAGGAAATTGAAGGCTAATTTTGTTTTGTCCTGGTCCACTAAAAAGTCAGGGACACTTTCCCAACTGGCCACTGAGTATTCAGTTAAGCATACCCTTGACTGGGTAGACTATTGACATTCTGTTGTCAGGTGGAACACTATCGGTTTTATGTTACGTGCTAATTCATGTCATTGTCGAGCAACAAAAGTCGCTTAAATTTCAGTATAAATTTTGTTACTGTTAGTTATAATGTAAAATTTGGTTCCTGATTATGTTGATTTGTTATATTACTGGTGGAGATGTTGCAGATGGCAAGAATAGGCACTTCACAAAGTTTGTTACTGTGTCCAGCATAACGTATGTTTATTAAAACTGGTTGGCTGCACAGTTGCCTTTTTATGAATTGATAGAAGGCCGTTAGACTGGCCAAGTTTTCATGAAATATTGTTGAACGAAACCATCAATAAATTAGTTTATCAATATTTAAAGAGCAAGAAAGCTTGGTTTCAGTTTCTATGAGCTGGGAGAATCCTAAGCTTGCAATAAATAAGATAACCTTGTTCTCTGCAAACTTCGGAGCATTACTTGTTATTACACATTATTAATTGCTATTATTATTAATTTTGTCTCATCTGAGTACTAATAAAATTGACTTGCTTCTTCTCTGAGAAAAGAAAAGAAGACTGAACTGCCATTCTTCTGGAGACTATGGAAAACGAAATTCTCAAGTTTTATCACGTGAATATAAATACCTTCTGATGACTCTAATGACCTCTTAATGGGAAATATATCAAAGAATATTGTCTCAGCACAATTAATCAAGTGACAAAGATAACAGTACAAACGAACACTGTGCGTTTAATATTATCCACAGTTTGTAAAACTGGTTCGTGATGTTTGCATGACGGATGTCGTGAGCACGTGTTTTAATCCATTTCTGCCACACGCGTGCGTGAGAAATGTTTTCTCGGTCTTTAGTACAAATTAAAATAAACAGTAACAAGTTTTTAATGAAACCTTCGACATCAATTTAATATGAAACTCACACAAAGTGGTGCTGACGATTTCTACAAAACAACAGACAGCTTTTATGCTCTCTTACACATTAAGACTTGCATGTGTTGCCTAGACAAGTAAGCTATTTGCTAGGTCGATAAAAATACTGTGAATTCATACTAAGCTTGATGTTACTGTTTGCCTTGGATGTTTAGCGCTAATCATGGCTCTTTCTTTGTATATAAGCTATGTCTTCACATGGAATCGGAGAAATCACAGACCTGTCACAAAGCTACACCAGAAACACTTCGTTGAAGCTGGCGATTCGCAGTACTCCAATAACTGAATAAGACTAAGCTCACCTGGTCTCCTTGTTTGAGAACTTTTTCAACACACATTTACCCAGGTCGTTTCCCAGTCGTTCTGCAATCAACTTAGCCAGTTGTTGATGAGAATTTCCGCCAAAAATCTTAATGTTCGGCATATTTGGAAGCGACACACAAGTAGGCTCTGCCAGGGCTTTCGCAATGTGCTTGGCGGCGAATCAGTTGACGCTTTTCAACTCCAAGATCCAGGGTCGGGAGGGTAGGGAATGTAGTCTATAGTATTGGTGGTAGAGCTAACGTTGTCCAGGATTGAGATCCATCAATCTCCCCTGGCCTATCACGCCAAAATTGCAGATCAAAATTCATTGTTGGAACTACTAACGCTGGGAGGCTCAGGAGTTAAAATTAAAATCAATTCCCGCTCGGGAACCGATTCCCTCCCTCACCGATTGAGTCGGGCCCACCCTTCTACGGAAACTTTTACAGTGCCACCTTAATTTTTCAGTTTAGGACGAATGCACGCACAGGGATCGTACCCGTTAAGCACTGATCCTTGTGCAAAATCGGGCGCGCAATATGCTGCTGGTGACAATTTCAGGGGTGGCTGTATGAGGCAATTTAAGCAAAGCACGCCACCGAGCTTTGATTCAAGTGAGAGGTGACGGAGGGCTTGTATTAGCTGGACATCTTTGGCATTGTCATGCAAATATTTGGAAATAATTATTTCACCAATTGTTAACTCGCACTCTCTTCGTTAAACATCACACAAAAGGGGTCAATTTATGTTTTTTTTTATTCAAATATAAAATTACTTTTAAAAGTTCTGAATTTAATTTGCTGTTTGACAGCGAGTACAAAATGGAGAAAATCCTGTACATTTCAGTTCTTTTCGTTGTATGTTAATATATTCATCGTAACACCAAAACTATGAAACGTACATTTTTGTATATATAAAGCTACACTTACAAATGTCTGTGTGAATATATTTTCAATATCCCAAATAGGTCTATTAGTTTTCAATTGACAGTCAGTTTTCGTACTGATTTGCATTATCCGCATTTTCACCAGTCGAGCTTTACAACTGGTAAGAAGGTCGAACATGTTGCTATTACCAATCAGATAAAACCAGCTTTTTTTAACCAATCAAGAGCAAAGCAAAAACCAGTCGTGACCAATCGAAAGGGGATTTTCCCGCGCTTGCTACCCGCTACATGATTTTCCGCGCTTTCCAATTTTTGAAGCTCTTGCTTCGAGTTCTGATTGGCTCACTGCAGTATTTGCATTTGCTGTGACTAAAGTCGGATTACTATCAGTCTCAATATTTTGAGTTATTTTGGCCACGTACAAAATTACCTTAAAATTGAAGGAAACCTGAAAATAATAGAGTACTAAGATAGAAAAACACCAAAGAGATAATAATAAACCATAAAGGAGCAAGGATGGTTAAGGATGGAAAAGATTGATACGGATTACAAACGACGAACTTGAAAAATTTAGGCTACACTTTTCAAGATCCGCAAACCATGACGTAGCCGCTTTAATGAAAACTATGAAAACCGTTATAAGCCTCGTAGTACATTCTCTCTCTCTGAAGGACAGTTAAGGTTAAATAAAACCAAAGTCGAACCTTGCCAATACCCACGTTAGAGTCTGTTCTTTCGATACAATAGTCAAATTATTAGTTCTTATTACCAAATGATATACAATTGGTTTTTTTTTTTTGCCAGTTCAGAGAATTGGTAACACATCAAGACAATGTCCCGTGGTTAATTTAATTTGTCCAGCAGCTAGCGGTAATTTTAATTCAAAGATCTTTCAAAATTATTTTGAAACTGCTACTAAAGGACAATATCCAAAGATTATTGCAGAATTAAAATGAACGAAATGTACAAATTATGGACTGCTGTATTCATGAGACTGCTCAGACTCCGGTCAAAACAAGTCAAAGGTCTTGATTGACGAATCAGAACGTTCGTAAAATCCTGGGTATTTCATAAAACATAGTGTACATGTTAAATACATTTTTAAATAAAGTTTAAAGAAGGTCACTCAAAGGCGACCAAGAAATCTTGCAGAATTTCTTTCATACTCTAAGACTACTTAGGTTAAACATTAACCCAGCTTTGCTGATTTTCCCCGCCGTTTTGTCTTTCACTTTTCCCCACTAACTGCCCCTGGGTCTCCATGGATGGCTAATTAATTTACGGACACCGCCTTATTACCAGTACTCCTTCAGCATCATCTCTTGCTCGGCTTTTTGCCTGACGGAGGCCTGGGTGATTTAGTGGTCGGGGTCGATGGTCTCATAGGGTACTGGGCCAGGATGGTTTTGCGCGGGGGTTTTGAGGTCGACTTTTTCTTGCCTTGTTGTTTCTTGTCAGTTTGCTTGCCCGCTGCGGACTCCGGACGAAGTAAGTCTTGAATATCGTCGCTCTCCTTTCCTGCTCCTGCCACCACTTCCAAACACCTCAACAAATTGGTTTGTTCCAAGTCTTTTTTGGACAAGAGTTGCATAATATCGCGCCCATCGTCCAAGGGATTTAACCACGTGGATTTACGAACGTCAGCCAGCTTCATCTTTGTGCCTTTTGGAACGTAAATATGGAATAACACTTCGACTGCTTCAGCTTTGGTCAGGGCACGGCCTTTAGCAGACACTGAGGAAAGCAAGCAAGCTTGGTGTTAGTACGCTACAGAATTGGTCTGCTTATTGATTGATTTGTAACCTGGGCTGGCGGTCAAAGGACAGTTTTTTCTCGCCAAATCCGATTTGATTATTACTAGGTGCGCAAAACTATCGCTACTTCGTTAGATTTCAAAAATAAGTTCTGGGCTCACTTTTGTTTGAAAGCCTTTTTCGCTGGTTCTTTTTCGACAGTCTAAGTGTAGATAGGTGGAGTAAGGCGCTTATTATCGGCGGAATTTTTTGTGTCAAAAATAACTTGGTTAATATTCGAAAAGGATTTTGTGTTGAAAAAGGCGCCCAGAGGAATGCCGCAAGGCAAAAGTCTCAATATAATAAAAATATAAAATAAATATAACGATATTAAACACAACAAAAATTGGAATTTTTCTGCACGTCTCTTACTTTTCGTGACAATCTCGATAGCTTCGTCGATTTCCTTTTGTGAAGGTACGTGACCAACTGACTCGAAGAACTTCTTGATGTCGTTATACTGAAGGACACCGTCGGTGGCAAATTTGTCAAACGCCACTTCGTATTCTGCAAAAAAACACAAAGTGTTTAAACAAAAGGGAACTGTTACGAAACAAGTTTTGCAATCATACAAACGAGTCTAAATAACGTTAAACCACAAACTGGAGGAAAGATTTGGCTTTTCGCTAAAAATGAAGTGACGTTTCCCCCACTTTCCCCTTCACTCCACAAGATGTCTGTTTAAACAATACTCGCACAGAGGACTGTCAGAATCTAATATTAATCAAGGAATTTAGTCTCCACTAGAAACTCATTGAGCACGTAATTTTCAACCATTATGTTAATACTAGACAACAAGTCGATGTTGCTAAGCAACACATACGCTGACGAGACAACGCGCTGGGCTTCAACTGCTTCTAGAAAATATTCGCCAAAAAAGGCACGAAACTCTGGCCAATGACTAAATACGTTCTCGAATTCAGAGGGAGTAAAGATACTCCGATTTACCTACCCTTTCATATACCTCAACTTGTGAAATCCTTACCCTTGAATATACCTGAAGCTTGAAAACGGTGCCCCTTTCGGGCGGGGCCTCCCATATAGGCCATTATAGAGAGAACCCCTCCCCCCGGGTTATCAACCACCTGCTTGTTTTTTCCTAACGAAAGAATTAAAGTAAAAAATACTCACTATTAAGCCGCTCCACATACTCCATCAACTCGTTAAACTCCAGAGCAGTGGTCGGCTCTTTGATGCCATATCTCTTCTGTACTCTGTAGAGTAGGGCCTGGTAACCCTTGATAAACTTGTTGAATGACAGCGTTCGCTTCAGAGCCTGTCATCAGAAATAATTTTAAAATATTAACCAGAAATAAAGGAGTACACGTAGAGTCGAGACGAGCAAGATTACAAGGTGTAAAACAGTCTTATTTCCTCGCTAAGCGTTGTAAAGTTTCATACTCGTCGAGGAACGGCGGGCAGACACCATGCTTGAACAAGAACGAACTCTTTGGCAATCCGAAAAAACATCATAAGATATGATACCAAGAGACCCTCTTTCTCAGTTTTGTCTTACCTTGGCTTTTGATTTTTCCAGCATTCGACGAACAAACCAGCCTCTGAAATACCTAAAATGGACAAAATAACTCTCGTTCAGAACCAAACATTAAAAGATATCACAAACCGTTAAATAGAACAACAGGTCAAACTGTATTAGACGATTATGTTCCATACAAAGTGTTCTTAAAACGGGATAAAATGAGATACGAACTGACAATAAATATAGTGATGATATTCAAACAGACTGCAAACGTCAATGTAGTAATTCAGAGTGACTTTAAAATGTTTAAATGAACTAAGTCACGGTTTACGCATCTTCAAAAGTTTAGCCTGAAGTTTTCAACTTCGTCGTTTGTAATCTGTGTTAATCGTCCCCATCCTTAATCGTCCATGTTCCTTTCTGGTTTATTATAATCTTTTTGATGTTTTTCTATCTTAGTAACTGCTATTTTCAGGTTTCCTTCAATTTAAAGGTAATCTTGCACATGGCCAAAATGACTCGAAATACAG